AACAAACAGCACACTCCACCAACAAACTAAACTACGCTTACTACGCACCGGCCTGGTCCCAGGAGGCATCCACGATGACAATCACGTCGGGGTCTCGCTCGATGACGTCGGTCCAGTTGGCGTCCGCCCAGCTCTTTTGTTCCTCGATCCCCAGGTCGGAAAAGATGTTCTGGGCCMCGGCGTACTCGATGATCTTGTTGACGGACCCGCAGCAGGACCCGACAAAGGGCGTTGTGTCGTCCCAGCCGTCCAGCCAAAAGACCTGGACGTCGCTCGATCCGTGTGTCTCCACGAGGTTGGTGGCCCGGCGRAAGTGGTCGTCGATGTTGGACACCAGGACCTGGGCCTCCTCAAAGGCGTCGAATATGAGGGCGACGTCCCAGATCTCCTCGTAGAGGTGCTTCAGGTCCACCTCGGCCGGCCGGTGGTCCGCGAGCTCGCAGTAGGGGGTCTGCAGGTAGGTCTGGATGCCCTCGACGTGGAGCTCGGCGCGGCAGTACGTGGCGTTGGTCTCKGGGAGGGTCAGGTCGCATCCGTCCTCCACCACCTGGAAGTAGTCGATGCGCTTGCTGTCCTCCTCSGTCTTGGCCTGGAAGGCGCTCTTGTAGGAGGCGTACAAAAAGTCCGGGTCCGTGGCCATGAGCGTGTCGATGTCGGGGTATCCCTCCGAGAGGACGGGGACCCTGGCGTAGTCGGCGGCGAGCTCGGGCCAGATCTCGTCGTCCAGGTAGGCGGTTCCGACCATGCTGTCGGCSAGGCCCAGGGCCAGCATGACCTCGGTGGTGCCCTGGTTCATGGTGACGGCCCGCTTGGGGGCGTCTTCGATCCAGGACCGGACGCCGCAGTTGCTGATGCCCACCGGGTAGGTGGTAGCGACCGCACTGCCTAGAACGGAGGAGAGGAGGAGGATGCCTTGGATCGTCATCGCTGGSTTGGTACTTGGTACTTGGGACTTGGGTTCGTGGAGGATCGGTGCCGCACGGTACACAGAGAAAGCAACTTTGAAAAGAAAGCACCAAAAAAAAGTGTCGGTGTGGGTTGTGTGCGATCGGGTGGATCCGGATCTTTCCAACCGATCGAGCTGCCGCTGCGCTTCGCACTGCTGCTGGTTTTCTCGCTCGTGGATTGTCTAGGAGCGCAACGGCAGTTGCCGATGCGAGAAAAAGATGGCGGAGAAAGAAGTTGTGAGGAGGTGCCAGAACAAGAACCGAGGGGGTGCGTGCGAACGCATCTGGATACCATCCCGCAAGGTGCCGGCAGGCTGAAAACGAAAACTAGCCAATCRGATCCTTTGTTTGCTGTCGGCCCTGACACCGTTTGTGACACGGGCTATATAAGCCCGTCTCCCCGAAACAGCCTTCGGAGAGGCCAAAAACCCAAAAATAGGCTACTTTCCGCACGAGCCTTCCCGGGACGCGATGCCTTCCTCATCCTTCCTTCCTTCATTTTTTTYGGTCCATCTTTGTCCATCGTGCATTTCGATTTTTTTTTCTCCCGAAAGCCTAATCTTCCCAAAAAAAGGCCATATCCTCGTAGGCCCGACCGGCCCTTGTCCTTCTGCCGGAAGGCAGGGGGGAAGACCAAAGGCGTCACCACCGGTCGGTGCCGAGTGCCGCGAATGCCTGCAACAGTCCCCTCGTAGTGCGGTGCGCGCTAAAAGTACGAATGCGCAACACACTCTACCGGCTTGTGGGATCGCGTGCACGTCCCGGGAGGCCAGCGGTGGGGCACGGTGCCGTGGAGGCGACGACCGCAGCGTTCGGGCGAACCGCATTCCACGGGGACGCATCCGGTTCGTTCGTTCGTCCCCCCCCCCCGGCCGCGCACCCCATCGGTACGGTCGAGGAGGGCAGTGTGTGGGGGGGGAGTGAGTGACGGGGCACGCAGGGCTCCGATCGAACGACCGAGGGTGGTAGCAGCATACCGTACCGCGCTACCGTACTCGTCCAAGCAGGTGCGAAGACAGCGCAGCGCAGCGGACTGGGTTGGTTTTGGTTTGTTTGGATTGCCCCTTTTGTTTTCCTTCCGCCGAGTCCCCCCTTCTTTTTTCCTCGATTTGCGTGTAGCAACAGTAGGGAGAAGCATCCTTGGAGAAGCATCCTTTGTCAAGTCGACAGGGTTGCATKTCATCCAATGATGGTACTCTTTAAGACCTTCATCGTCGATATCGATTCAACAACTCCCCCAGCAGATTTGACACCAAGCGGCATCGCATCCGTTACTAGTGGCAGGRATAGTAGTACAATAAACCATCAAGTTAGAGTTAGCTAGAAGTAGAACAAGTACGTAATGGTACAACGATGATTGGATGGATGGATTGTTTGCATTCGTGATGTTGCGTTCGTGTGTAGAACTGGCGATGGTATGCATACAGTAACCATTAGTAATACTATGGAGGAATCTTCTGTTGGTGTGTATCAATATTTTTTCGGTACACCRATAGAAATTTTTGATGGTACGGAAAATGATCACGAGTGTGACCATTTTCTCACTAGAACATCAGAAACTTCAATGGCATGAGTCTTTTTTTTCGGTGGACCAATAGAGTACCATATTCTTTTGGTATTGATGAATGCTGATAAAAAAAATCCTTCCGTCCCTAGAATTTTGGAAGCTTCCAATGGTATGTGGCCAGGTATTTTGGATGGTATAAAAAATAATCGATTGAAGGGCAGCTTTATCGATATTATGTGTCCGTCTGCTGATGGGATACTGGAAATTTCGGGTGGTATGAGTATTAATTGGTGGTACCGGTACGAACCTCATCAGATATGTGCCGAAACCAATTGTGTGCGGGTTCGTTCGTTCGATTGAAAGAAACTTCCAGTTGTACCGTACGATACGGTACGATACGGCTTAAGAGAACCCATTCGGATGCTCTGATGGATTTTTCCAATCGCTTGTTGCT